TGTTAGGAGTATAATCAAGTGGGCCATGTGTTTTAATTAAAGGTAATAGTACAATTTTCACCATAAAAACCTTCCTTTTATGGTGTGTTGCAGCTATTGTGACATTTCCATTTTAAGAAAGTGTTGCAATTATAAAGAAGGAGGAAGTATATAATTAAGAAAATATAGGATGAATGAGGGTTAAGCAAACCCCCAATACTCTCCTCTCACATATGCCATGTCAAATGTCATGTCATCTCAACTCAAAAGACAATCATTAGTCACGCAAAATCAAGCAACAACAATGAGTAAATAATCTAATCTTCAATCAATATAGAAAACATAATTAAAGTACTAGTAGTAAATTTCAATCAACATAAACGTCGATTAATATCGCTGTAAATTAAAGTTGACAAAATTAACTTAATATATATTCACACATTATATTTATTAAAATATGCAAAATGTGAGTTAAGTATAAAGATGGGGACTAATTTTTAGATTTTTCACCTTTTGGGACCTCAATGTTTTTTTTTTTTCACCGTATGGGACCTAGAGTTAACAATCCGGTCAACTAACTACACTTTAACCCACCAGAGTAAAAACATAGGTCCTTTCCATTAATTACTTGACAAATTTCCAAAAAAAAACATAGGTCCTTATAAATCTGAAACGGATAAAAATAAATGAAGGGACTAAGTTTCTAATTAAGGGACTATGTTTTTTATATGGCACGATACTCTCTACTCGTGACATGCTCAATTCTTTATTTATATCATTAGGCCTGCGTGTTGTAGGTTTCACATACTCTTACATACTATTACTACTTACCTATAAACCGACTATATATATAACCCATGCTAGGATGGCTAAGTTACTAACCTTAAACAAGTAAATGACTAACCTACCCACCTATTTGCCCACCACCTAAGCCACCAGAACCATCTCATCGTTGAATCCACCACTGTCCAGCCACCATCACCACCGCCTACCCGTAACCGCCCTCTACACACCTTAAACCACCCCTTTTTGCCCTAACACCACCCCACCTACTCCAACTCACGAAAACCACCCTACACCCACCTCTCAAGCTACCCAACCATAAAGGTCTCCAGCCACACAAACCTACCCTAAATCCACCATACCAACCCATACTAAAGCCAATCCAACCCAACCTAAAGCCAAACCAACCACCACACAAACCCATCCTAAAACCACCACACAAATCCACTTTCAAACAAACCAACCACCTCCTGCTGTCCCGACCACCCAACACCACCATAAATACCACCTTCTCAACCGCATCTTGCCGCTAATTTTGATGAGGTTCGAGGGAAGTGGGGCGGGTTAACGGGGAAGGGGAGGGGCTGCCCGGGAATAAGTGAGGGGAAAGGGCTGCTTTTGGGTGGGCCTGTTCTGATTTATTGAACTGAGCTGAACTTAACTGAACTAAACTAAACTGAATTGTTTGGAGCTGAACAGAACTGAACTGAATAGAGCTGAAATGAATATTTTATGAGAGAAGGAAATTAGGAACTGAAGTGAACTAAACTGATTGGAGCTGAACTGAAATTAAGCTTAAGAGAACAGGCCCTTAGTAATATATTTGGGGATAGGTTAGTAATTTAGGGGATTAGAAGGGAGGGGAAGGATAGAGGAGAGAAAATAGAGAAGTGATGAATAAAGAGGAAAATGTGGCATACTTTCTTTACAAAAGGAAAATGGTTTTCCTTCATTAAAAAGTAACTTTCCACCCATGGAAAAATTGTTTTCCACCCTTTAACAAAACAAACAAAGGAAAAGGAAAAATGAAGGAAAATCATATTCTAGCAAAAACAAACGAAGCCTAAATCACTCTCCTCTTTTTTCATCTTTAATTCTCAATACTCCCTTGCCCTCTTCAATTCTCTTTCCCCTCGATCTATGAACCAACCCCGTGCCCTCTTAAATCTTGAATACTCTTACATATCCCACTGATATGTCGTGTTTTGTGTATGTTATTTGGCTTATTTTTAGTTAGTTTTGTTAGTTTAGTTGAGTTTTTGAGTCCGTTTTGGCGTATTTTGGTTTAGTTTTGATAATCCGATGCTTTTATGGGTAGTTTTGTCGTTTTTGATGTTTTTTAGGAATAATGAAGCTAATTTGGATCCATTACGAAGCCATGAAGTTAAGCCAAGGCCCATGAAGCTTGATGATTGAAGAAAAGGCAAAATAGGGAATTTTAGAGCTAGGCACGGCCGTGCCTACTCCGAGGCACGTCCGTGCCTCCAAGCCATATGCAGCACCCTTTGTTTCGACCCTAGGCACGTCCGTGCCTAGCAGGAGGGCACGTCCGTGCCCATCAGAGCAGCCAGGCACGTCCGTGCCCAGCATCAGGCACGTCCGTGCCTGGATGACAGAAGCTGCAACAATTATGCTACGTACAGAGGCACGTCCGTGCCTGTGGAGAGGCACGTCCGTGCCTCCTGGGATTCTTGTGCGCCAAGGCTTGGCCGATTTTCTTATCTTTTTAGGTTTATATAAATACTTTTTAGCCTTGTTTTCTGGGGGAATCATTAAGTTTATATTATTTTTCAATTCCTATTATTAAGAACGAGTTCCCCATTATTTTTCTAAATTTTTGTAATTCAAGATTCAAGATTCAAGCTTTCTACTTTCAATTCTATTCAAGATTTGGTATTTATTATTCATCCTTTGTTATTTAATTATGTTTTCATTATTTATTATTGTTTTTGTTTCTTTAATCATGTGTGAGTAGATTCTTTAATTCAAGGTCTAGTGTAGCCCTATTATTATTGATGCATGAATTAAATCTTTAAATTCTTTAATGACTTTAACAATTGAATTGCTAAATTGATTGTGATTATGCCAATGCTAGGTTAGACGTAACTATAGTATTGCGATTATTCCATTGTTTTTATCACAGCGAGAGTTGGGTATAAACGGATTTGAGTAAATTAATTTAGGGTTTGATTCATATCACGAGAGTAGTTATGTTTGATAATTGGGAAGTCAAAGTAATGTGTTTAATGTCTTTAATATGCAAGATACCATGAGAATAGGATTGATTGTATGTTAGGGAAGCCATTGATACCCGAGAGAGATCCTTGGTATTTAATTAGGGTTTACTTTTCCCCGTTCGATTGAAATCGTATGTTAAGGGTAGAATTACAATTGCATCGATAATAATTGTGGTGAAACTAGATCTTGGATGTTTTAAGTACTTGATTTAATCATCTCATTTAGTTTATTTTCGAATTCTTCTCATACTTAGTTCCTTAGATAATTGATTATAATTGATTCTTGCTTAGTAGAAATTCGAGTTTATTTAATTATTTTTGAACCTTAGTCTCTTGGGATCCGACCCTTACTTACCAGTCTACATTAGTATTGGTCTGTTAGGTTATTTTTTATAGGTACGCGACACGCCTACCACCCACAAAACTCTCTTTTTTTTTTTTTTTTTTTTTGAAAAGGTAAGAAAAAAGAAAGAACATTAGGAGACCCTCCTCATGAGGGGAACTCCTAATGCGTCGGATACAAGAATAGGAAATAAACTAGAGTTATTGCAAGGTATAATGTCCATACTATCACTAACTAAAAGACCAACATTAGCTATTCAGTCAGTTGCTCGATTTGCTTCACGATATACGTGTCGAATGCTCCAACTGTCGAAGTTGTTGAGAATAAGACGCATGTCTGCAATGATATGATCAATCTGCCACAGGGCCGCCTATAAACCTTTAACTGAGTTAATAACCATGACATTGTCGCCTTCAATATATGGATGTTTTTGATGCCTTGTTCCATCGCAAGCAGGATGCCCTTGTGGAGAGCAAATGCTTCAGTTATGAAAGCTTTAGTGTTGCCGAGGTTGAACGTGCATGCGCATTGAAGATTGCCGATGCTATCTCGAATGATGATACTCGCTGCTGCTGAATTATGTTGAAACGAGCCGTCGAAGTTTAGTTTGGAATAATTGGTAGGTGGGGCCTATAAAACTCAATTGCCATTAACTATGTAGCAAACATCTTGCCACCGCTTTGTCGTGTATACTCGACTTATCATCTTTATTTGATATTCGAATTATCAACTACTCATTCCGTCCCATAATGTATTTTCCATTGTGAAATTTTCACAAGAATTAAAGAATTTGAAAAATGTATGATTTGCAATTATTATTTTACATTTGTAATTGAATTTTTTTGGAAAGTACACAAATAAGAAAAATATTATGGGACGGGGGAGTATTAATTTATTAGTTGAACCTTGGTTATTATCTTCTCATAAAAAATTGAGTTTGGTATTTTGGTGAATGCAAATATGATATTATGGGGTATGCTTACCCGACATTTGAGTAATATGATGGAGAGAACCAGAGAAATACAAGGTTGACATTGACAAAATACACGATATATTTCTGCTTATTTTCTTCTTTTTTTTTTTTCTCCATTGATGCATCAAATCGTTAGATTGTATTATATGGGTGAATTGTCATCAAATCGTCACTATTTAATGAATTCTACTTCAAATATATTAGGAAGATTTGTAAACTTATTGTAGGAATGTAGGCAACCAAGATGGACAATCCAGGAACATAGCATGGGTGGTGCGTCCTCCAATCCAGTCCTTAGGTGTGACAACTTTACTTACTATATTTCTAATTTAAATTTATTTATTAGTTATGATCTGTGTATGTAGTAATTTGTTTATCAAAAAGATTATGTTATGGGTTTGTTTAATTTGATCGACTTTTGAATCTGGGTTTTCGAAGAATTTTGAGGTTATTTTTTGAATTCATGTACTCTATTATGTTTGGTTTATTGTTAATTTAGGACAGTTTTACGTACAATGGCTACAATAAAATGGTAGCCACTATACTAAATAAAATCACAACAGTTAATTTGTATTTGGCAATCAGGCTGTTCGTTGAGATGACTTGGTAGTTTTATAAAAAAAAAAAAAAAAAAAAAAAAAAAAAAAAAAAAAAACTTTGACCAAAAAAAAAAAAAAATCCCCCCAATTTTCTTCAGTTTCCTTCTCTTCTGATGTACCGTACTTCGTAGTCTGCTATTCTTTTCTCTCTCTCTTTCACCCCTTCTCCTTTGCAAATCCTTCTTCAATTGATTGTTATGTTCATCTAATTATATGAAATCGAGTTTTGATCCCTTCTTCTCTTCCTTAGGTTGAATTTAGGGTTTTCTTTTTTCCCAAAAAAAAAAAATTAAAGGAGAAGGAACTGAAAACAAACGTGGGGGGATTTCTTAATTTTTCTTGGTTAATTTTTTTTTGTTGTTTTTTGTTTTTTTTTTTTTTTTTTGGTAAAATTACAAAGTCATCTGATCGAAGGGCCATAATTAATCAGATACAAATGAACGGCTGAGATTTCATCAATTGCAGTGGCTACCATTTTGTTGTCGCCATTCAAAAGTCTTCCATCTTGCCTTGAATAATTAAAGTTTGGATTTTATGTTATGGGTTTGTTTGGTTTTGATTGAATTTTAAATCTGGGTTTTGGAAGAATTTCTCATATTAATAAAAATTAGAGTAACCATTAAAACCTAAGGTCTGTGTTCGTCATTCCCTTCCAATTCACAAAAAACAATTCGAATAACACCATACATACAAAACCAATATTTTCATGAACAACAAAAACAAATTATCAAAAAAGCGCAGTTGATAATCAATATCATCAAAACCCTAAACCCTAACTAAACCCGCCAAAAAAAAAAAAAAATTACAATTTTCTCAAGAAAACAACTCGAATACATAAGAAACGAAAGCACCTTGCAAAATTACTGAGAATCGGGTTGAAATTATGAAGAATTGCCTTCGCTTCCTTAGCCAAACTGGAGGAACGCTTCTAGAATAGGGAATCAAGTTCAATAAGAGAAAATAGCACCCTTTCCCATGCCATGTTAGCTAAGTAATAATGTGTTTATGTCAGTTAACCAAGGTCTAACTCACCTTGAGTTAATTGATGTTAATTATCACCGGAAAGTAAATGTTAGGTCCTTAATTGTGAAAAAAAAAGTGAAAGGTCCTTAACGGTGAAAATGTTAAAAGTGAGGTTCTTCTTTTATGCTTAACTTATATTGTTTCATTTATTTTGATATTATTTGCAGATTTAAAATTTGTGTTTATGATATGTTCTGTCCATTTTAACCATTTATATTAGACATAAGTGATATAAGTGATTGAAACTACCCATTGAGAAACGTTGTAAACTTGTAACCCATATAAATCACATTATTAACAATTTAGCACGGTCACACGTTTTAATATTTTTAAAAATAAAAACTCAAGCATGATTTTACTGGAAAACAAAGCACTAAGTAAGGGGAAAAAAAAGAAAAAAAAATACACGGATTAACAAAAAAGAAAAAAAAAAAAAAACCAAACAAATACGTAGTACATAATCCAGAAAAAAGATTCTTTCAAAAAAAAAAAAAAAAAAAACAATTTCTCCAGAAAAAAGAAGAAATTGATATGCAAGGAGGCAAGGACTGCGACTATAATTTTGATCCTGATGCAAACATCGTCCCTCTCTTAGTCTCTCCCTAATTTGTCTCATCTCAATCCCTAATTTTGTCTCCATTTTCTAGGGTTTTGCTCTGATTTTCTGATTTCAATTTCTATTTCTTTTGATCTTCTTGTTTTGCAGGTTGATGAGCTTCGGAAACAGTTCGAGGCTACACAAAAATCTGGTATTTTTTTATCGAATCCTTTCGATATGAAATAGGTTTTTTTCAAATGTTAGTATCTTAAGTAGAAATTTTCTGGGTCGTTGTAAAATGTCAGATTTCACTCTAAATGAACTTTATTTTGCTCAAAGATTACTGGGTTTTGCATATGATTTTACTTTGTTGGAACATATAAAGGTTGGTTTTTGAGGTGAAAAGTATGATTTTGATTGTTTGATCTGTGTATCATTGGGTGAATTGTTTGATTTCCATAAATTGATTTGCTGAAATGTCTGAAATTTAGCCTAACTACATAATGCACTTGATTGAAATGCTTATTGCAGGCTGTTTTTTAAAGTGTAAAATTGATTGTGAATTGTTTTGTTATTAGTTATTGAAGAGAGTAAATATACGGAATTGAGGTTGATATTGTACAGAATGCTGAATTAGGGAAGGTAATTGCTTCTTATTTAATGCTTTGACTGTCCGTGAAACAAAACTCAAAGTGAGTACCCCTGATTGCTTGGTATCGTAAAATCAAGCTAATAGCTATTGACCTATTGCAGATACAAGTATATGATGGTGAGGATCTTGTTGGATCATCCTTGTCATTTTCTGTTGAAATTATTCATGATAAGATCGTTTGATTTTATGTCGTCTCAACTGCTATATACTATACTTTGCTCTGTTAAAATTGTGATGCATCTATATTTTTTCCTATCTCATGTCATAATATCCTTACAGTAAAGACCATTTAATTACGAAATTGGTTTCTATGTTACAAACTTAGAAGTGTAGTGTTTCATACTTTACTTTCTTACAATTAATGTTATTTGTTCATGCAGTTAATGTTTGGGGATAATTTTGACAGCATTATGCTTTTATTGAGTTTGTTGGATATTCTGCATTATTTGGTTATTGGGAAGCGTATGTTTACATTTTTGGTGGGTTATGTGATCATTTTCTGATAAATCTTAAGGGTGGGGATTTGTTAATTTAATTGAGTAGGCCATACTGCCATACACCTATTGTTGTTAACTCTCAAATGTACCTTGAAGATGTAATTAAAGCTTACAATTGCACACTTTTGCTGGAAGTGTTATTGTGTTAGCCTTTATAGATTGAGCTCTTTTGTCTATCATAGTGCACTTCTGTAGACGTCATTAACCTGAACTAGACTCTAGATAGTCTGGAACTTTCTGCTATTGTCCAAGCCTCCTGATAAATCAGAGCACTGGTTTCTGTCGCAATATATGAATTCCTATTTGATGTAGTGCCTTAGGAGATATGAGCAGAGAGACTTAGTGCTTTTAAGAGTCCATTTTGTTTCTCTTTTCTGCTTATCTAATCTTTACTTGATTTTATTAATACTTAGTCCTTTAATTTAACTTCAAAAAATATTTAGTAGATTCCAAAATCAATTGTGCTTTTATTTAATCACGAGCCATCCTATTCTAATCTGCATATTGGAAGGAATGCAAGAGTAAAGGTCGATTAGGTGCAGCATATTTTATAATCTTATTTTACTGTGCTTACTTCAAACAGTGAATGTGGATCATTTGATGCAGCCATTACCATAGGAAACACTAACATCCATATTTAGTTTATTTTAATGTAGTTCAAGAACCGTTGCAGACCAATCCAGATCTAAAGGAGGGTTTTTGCTGAGCTTTTGTTGGAACATATAAAGGTTGGTTTTTGAGGTGAGAAGTATGATTTTGATTGTTTGATCCGTGTATCATTGGGTGAATTGTTTGATTTCCATAAATTGATTTGCTGAAATGTCTGAAATTAGCCTAACTACATAATGCACTTGATTGAAATGCTTATTGCAGGCTGTTTTTTAAAGTGTAAAAATGATTGTGAATTTAGCCTAACTACATAGTCATCTTTCTGGTTTTCTCTCTCCTTACCTCCATTTTCTCTCTCATCCCTCCATTTTACATTTCCTGAGCATAGCACATCGCAAGAATGGAGCAGCAGTGAAATCAAGGGCGGCGGCTCAACTATCACAAGAATGGGGAGATATACAGGTTCGAGCTTGAGGAACTTGCTAATCAATCTGATTATTCATCAACATTCGCATCATCATCTTCGATAAAAATCGAAACTTTCAACTGAAAAATCGAAAAATCCTTGTTCATCTCTCTCATAAATTTCCTCCATTTTTGAAGAAACCTCAGAACAACAACAATAACAACTACCATGGATTTCCAGGTGGTTGTACTAGCTGGTGGCACTTCCAAAAACCTTGCCCCTCTTGTTTCCAAGGTTTTTTCAATAAACCCCTTTTCTTTTAATCCCAAATTTTGATTTTTAATTTGATTAATTTCTCTTTTTTTTTTATCTGTAAATTCAATTTCAGGAGGTACCCAAAGCATTGCTCCCAGTTGGGAATCGCCCAGTAGTTTCTTATGTATTGGACCTTTTGGAACAAAGCAATCTCAAGGATATTATTGTGGTTTGTTTTTGTAACTTTAATTGATTGATTGTTTGTTTTCAAAATTAATCGGGGAAATTGGCGAAATTGGGGTTTGCAAAATATTTGGTTTTGTATTTTGTCTTTAATTTGATTATAATGATTGGGTAATTTTGTATATTTCAGGTGGTTGGAGGCGCAGATGCTGCTGTTAAAGTTGATGGATGGATTTCGAGTGCGTATGTTGATCGTCTTCGTGTCGAGGTTAATTTCGAATCCTGCATTTCATAGGTGTAATGATTTCTGGGTTTTGTTCATGTTTGCCTGTGATTATGCTACTTTAGACAGTTTGTACTTTGTAGTATTGCAAACTGGTGGAAGCTTTATGTGAATGAATGAAGTAGTTTAATAGTTCTGTGTTAATTTCCGTTTAGTGAGGTTTTGAATTTTCAATATAGGGTTTGACATGATTTGTTTTAGGTAACTGAGAATTCAATTCTTTGTGGATGCTTGTGGATGAATGACATTATTGGATTTATGACACATATGTTGGTAGAGAGCGATTATGCTCATCACTTAATCTTATAAGATTAATGAGAGTGATAACAAGGTGCCTTTTGACGTACTCGGCCGGTTCTGATGTCGAACATGATTCTAGAATCTCTGTAGTGATGGAGATATGGAGGGTAAGAGGAGGGTAGAGCATCTGCTTTATGGGTTTGGATTATTGATTTGGTTTTTCTGCTTTTTTTGTTTTAATTAGATAGGATTTGGGAGATTGATGATTTTCAGGTTTTTTTTTTCTTCGTAATGCAGGTTCTGATGATGGTAAATTGGGCGTGAAAAATAGCTTCCTCAGCTTCAATGATGGTGGAGAGAGACTGTACTAACTACCAAGTGTTTTCACAATCGTCAAATCTAAGCTTCCTCAGTGCGACCTTCAAAATTTTGATTATAAAATTCTAAAACCCAAACTTTTCAATTATGAGATTTTCAATTTTTGAATGAATTCACCAATGACGATAAGTTCAGAATCAATACAAACAATGAAAATCAATTGCATCGATGAAAACCGAAAATTAGATCAAATTGATTAAGGTTTCCTCAATTTACCCCCTTTTCGATTAATGATATTATGGAAACAATTTATTTATTTGCAATTGGCAGGAGTTTGTTGTATATAGGTATTACATTTTGACTTACACATTAATGATTTTGTGAATTCTATGTTTTATTCTTTCTTCTTATGAAGTTAAATTGGTTAGATTTGGTTAAATGTAATTGCAATTGGGAAATGTTACAATAAGATAGTGAAAAGGTGTGATTTTTTGTGGATGTTTTGAGTTAAAGTATGTTTGAATCTTGTTTAATGTATAGTTCTCTCTATATAAATGGTTTCTGTATTAATGTTCCAGGGTTATTGAAATCTGAATCTGAGATAGTATGCTTTGCAAAATGAAGTTGGATTGATGTTTTTCAATAGTTGCAGATGAGGTGATATATTGGTGGGTATTTTAAAGTATTTTGAATCATTGATTATGCAGACCCTGAAAAACCCAGGAGATCACTGAATAATTTCTTTTTCCCAATGAAGGGTATGGATTCGGCCAAGAGTTGGTTTCATAAGTTGCAGCCACGTGATAAGTTGAGATCTGCATCCAAAAAAAAAAAGGATTCCGGGATTTTGGGTGGTAAGGAAGTGTCTGCCCCAACATCAGATGATGAAACGCCGTCAAATGTTACACAACAGAGGGTTGCGGCAGCAAAGCAATATATTAGAAACACTATAAGGAGCAAATGAAGAATTTGCAAGAAAGGAAGGATTTGGAGTTTTGATCTATATTCTTCATCTCTTTTATACTGTACTGTATTGAGCAAATTAACGAAATAAACGATTTAAAGAATATTTTTGAGTAAAAAGCTTTCATTTTGCTGGGCCAAAAATCCCAATTCATGTTTTGTTCTATCTCTTGTTTTGCAGAATTCCTTCACCTTCGTCATTTACAAATTTGTATGTGTTTCTTTATATACCAGAGCGGTTTCAAGTAAAAATTAATTGTTACTTTTTCCTATAATTTAGTGAAAAAATAATTAATTTAGATTTTAGGGGTTGTGGTTGAATTTGATACCCGTTTTTGGAATTGTGTTGTTTGTGTAAGATTTTGATAAATTAATTTGTCTCCCTTCGGGGAAATTATAGTACTGATGTGAAGTATGAGGAAAGCGCCTTGTGTTGTGCAGTCACATAGTGCAGTGTCTTCAAATTATGGTGTGTACTTGTTGAGTTTGAGGGTCTAAATTGCATCGAAATTTCGCCATAATATGCTTATAGTGTGTTATTTGTTGTTACATAGGGTGTCTATCCTAGAACGGGTGTAATTTTACACTCTTACATTTGCCTCCTAATGTGGTCAACTCATGAGTAAATGGGGAGGGTAATTTGAAAGCGTGCAAAAGTGTAAAACTACGCTCAGGTGTAGGATGGAAATTGCAGTTGTTACATGGGTGGGTAGTTGTGATGACAGAATGGGTTTTCCAACTCAAAAGTACTGTATTTACTTACAAGAAAAAAGAACTATTGATTTACTTAGTATACGATATACTTAATGTAGTTCCATGTCAAGAGTGTTTTAGTAAGTTTACTATGTTATGGATTGCACATTTTGAGGATTTCTGCTATATAATAGGTATAATCCAAGCAATCCATAGAGCATTGGGTTTGCTTGGCCTACCTGAACTCAAGTAGTACTTTGTCAAATTCAACTTAATGAACTGAGATATTGTCCGCTACTTGACTCTCTTCTGGCTTAAATGTTACCTCGTTCTTTATATCTGCATTTATAACTATGAAAAGTAGGATTCTTTTTAGTTTTAAACTTTTTACCAGGGCTATCATTGTTGATGTTTTCGATATAATGAAGTCATTTCTAATTTATAATCCATGATTTTGTCCTAATAAGCTTTATTTTACTTAGGCTTGCGTTTTTCCCGTGAGATGCTAGATAACTTTATTAAGATAATCCTAAATGTACACTTAGAGTGTTTATGGTTTATGGTTTATGCTACTGTTTTTTTTTTTTTTTTTTTTTTTTTTTTTGGTGAGTGTAGAAGAAAAGTAATTACAGTCAAGGAAAGCGGAGGCCAAATATTGAACTGGTGTGCCACAAACGGAGAAAAGTGATTGATTGAAATTATGGAGGTGCTGGTCTCCATTATATCATTGGGGTATATTTATTTATTTAATTTTGATGTTAGATTGTGGCATTGTTGCTTGAGAATGAAGCTTATATCAACTCTAGATATTATTGTGGGCAAGTGATAAATTTATTTCGATTAATTTGGTTTTAAAATATCAATTTATTGTTGATTTTGATGATTTGAATGTTTTAATGGATGATCACTAATTAAAGATGATTATAATCTTTCATTTTCCTCTCGTATATGTTTTCTCTTTGTTTTTTACTTGCAATGACGGTTGTGATCTCTGGAATGTACTCTATATAATGCTAGATTCCCCCTATTTTTGTAAATTAATTCTTGTTACCAACCTCTAGAAAAGAAGTTAAGGTGGAGAAAGAAAGCAAGCAGAATCTGATGAAAGAGTACATTGCCGCAGCAAAACAGCTTGATAATGGATCTGTGGTTAGTGTTTTGTATATGTAATTTTATCAAAGGGCCACATTCTCCACATTTCACTATGTCGTGTTTTGCAGAGCTTGAGTATTAGCATTTTTTCCCTCAACAGCTTTTTCTTAAATTATTTGAAGAAAATGCATTCATGAAACAGAAACACTGAATTTGTCTGCATATTCTACTTTAGCAAAAACAATGACGAGTGTAACACTACAAAATTTGGTTAGAGGGAATTGTTGGTGTTTAGCACCTAATTTCTATTTTGCCTTCAGCACCTTATCACACTAGAGTAAGGAAGCAATATCTTGTGCTTAACACTAATTAGCCAAGTTTTGAAATCACACTAGGTGTCTTTTAGCATTTACATTGTGCTTGCACATTAGAATTTAATCTAAAATCAAATTGACCTCACAGTTTGATCAAATTATGTCATGTTGTCATGTTCAAATACAAGGTAGGAAAGTATTCTTTGATTTATTTAGTTAACAAGAATTACATATTCAATTCATAGCATCCATATATGAAAAGAGGAACGTGTATAGTTGAATTCAGGCGGGTGTGGAGACTGCTTTGGAAGGTGTCCTGACTCATGTCCGGTAGAATGTGTTCATGGCATTGAGAGTCGTATGAAACCTAATCTTGGTTGAGTTAATTCATGCATCACCGGGTTAAATAGGCCAACAATTGAACATCACTGGTCTATGATTTTGGCACACATCACACTTTTGACTAGATTAGGTGGGGCTGGGGCAGCAAACCTTGGTTGCATATTATGAAAACCATCATTTCATGGATGATTTTGTATCTTACTTTTGTGTATGATTTCATTCAACTTATATGTGTGCGCATATGTGTTTGTTGATTTTTTTCTCTATGTTATGAGGATTGTATATAAAGATTTAAGTTTTTTAAAAATATTTAATTGCTTCTCTATTGGATCTAATTCAAAGCATTTCAATTTTCTTTTGGATTTTGTTTAATTTGGGGTGTAAATTATATTAACAAATTATACCCAACCTTTTAGACTTTTTGGCAGCATGGAAAGGAACTCATAATGTCTGAGCTTGTCTTGTGACTTCTTTATACGAAGTATATTAAATAAGGAAGAGTGACTTCCTATACTGGACCAAAGCTACAAGGTGGCTTCCTATATTGGATTAAAGCTCCAAGAAAAAGTGTTCTGTTTTGGATGGGCTCAATTCTGTTGTTTTTGATAGGTTATACCTCATTCTGTTTTGCTCACAAGCAAATTGATAATTTTGATATGTGGGATAAATGCTATATTTACTCTATTGTTTTGAAATGGGTTCGGTTCAAGCATATATGATCAAATAGTTTATAGGCTATGTTATCCCTGTTATGTATTTGTTTAATATAACAATAATTGTACTCAATTTTGTTGTTGGGAAATTCCCAGGTGATTCTCTCTAATATTCAAAGCTCTCCAATTTCTCTTTTGTGTTTTTTTTTTCCTTTTTTATTTTGGTATCGGGCTTTAGTTTGTTAGTATGAAGTATGGTGATCTTTCGAGAGTAACTAATTGAGTACTCTGCTTAATTATTAGATTAACTATCTCTTGGTTTAAATTTTCGAAAATCATTTTGAACACAACTTTGTGAATTTTTAAAACATTAAAACATATTCAATTAACATAAACCAAACTTGCTTGTATTTTAATAATCTTTAAGATAACACATTTATTTACATGAATAAATTTACATATCATAGCGTTGAGGGGGCGCGCGCATCGCGCGTGCACCAACAACTAGTTTTACTAAATATTAACACCTAGTAGGTTTGAGGGCATGGACATCTACGGAATACGTAACGCTTTTCCAAGAGGACAATCTATTTTCTTCTTCTTGGCCTTCTTCTTTGCATGTTTCGACATTGTTTGTCCTTTCCCTTGGTTTATCTCAACAGCTTGACTGCGCTTTAGTTGTTTTCCAGGAGCAGCAGCTGGAGAGGCATCCATCTTCCCCTCCTAATTCTTACTATCATCATCATTTCCTTCCTCTGCAGTAGCTGCCTCATAATCCTCTGGGGAAGTCGCGTCTTTTAGACGAATCAGCGAACTCAAAAAGTACTCAAATACTGGCTTTCCTGATAACAGCCTTCTTGCACTGTCTTCGACCAACATATTATCTTTCAGATGTCCACTGAAATAAAAATGCCTTCAAATGATTATATATACAGGAAAACATAAGAGCTGAAGTACGTTAAAAGCATAGTTACTAGTTAGTAACCTGAAAAATAAATACATAAATGGACAATGAAAAATTATAAAACCTTATATTCTGACGTATTTTTATTCCGTCGGAATATTCCGAAGAAATGTCCGAAGAAATGAAAATCCGTCGGAATTTCTGAGTTTTCCGACGGAATTACGTGTCCGTCGGAAACAATCTGTTGGAAATCGGCCTATTTCTTGTAGTGAGAGTTTATTATATTATGAAGGACAAGTATTAATAAACATTGAAACTTTTATAGTGTACATTTTTTTCCCTTACAGAGAAATCTATTACTCCCTCCGTCTCTTATTTATTGCCCGACCCACTTTTCTTTTTAGTTCGTCCCTTAAATATTGCCCTATTCTATTTTTTGACATAAGGACCACAATACCACATCTTTACTCTCACAAGTCACAACCACCTCATTAATCCCACCACTTTTCTCTCTTATTGTATTTTTCCAACCAAAAATTAATAAAATAGCATTGGTATATGGAGCAAAAAATAAGGGATGAAGTCCTGGAGGGAGTGTACATGTCGCATAGGGCCTACAATATGTCTAGACAATATTGACCAACAATTATACAGATTTGTTATTTGGAAAGACATTCCAATGACAGTACATCGACTTCACTAAGAAATTGTGCATTGTTCTTGGAAAAGTCTATAAATAGTTCGTCTTGTGTTTTAATTGGTGAATTCTCAAAATTGAAGCAAAATTGCTTCTAAGGTTACAACCCTTATTGGGGTTGGTGTTGCAAACATTTTGATAAGTCGTGTATTGTGCATGTTTTTAGGGTCTTTTTACGTAGTTTTTGAGTCTAGATTAGTTGTTTGTAGCTTATTTTGGCTTGATTTGGTGTGGTTGTGATCATATGATGCTTTTATGGGTAGATTCGTTGTTTTTGATGTATTTCAGGATTTAACGAGGCTATGTGAAGGTTTTACGAAGTTACGAATCTTGATCATAGCTTGCAATTCACTTTGAAGGCCAATGTGGGATGTTGAAGTGGAGTGTGACTTTCTATTTAGTTGCTGTAGGAGTTAAATTTGGCTACTTGGTTTGTTTCAGAATGATCTTGTTTT